CGTGATGTGGTTCACATCACCGCGGACCGTCGCGCCGTACCAGACGGACGAGCCCTTGCCGATGGAGACTTCGCCGACGACCGACGCGTTCGGGGCGACGAAGGCGCCTTCGGCGAGCACGGGCTTGTTGCCGGCGTTGGCCACAAGGCGCGTCGACGGAACCACTAGTCATGGCATGTGAGGTACCGATCGAGAGAGCACGACGCGGGCTTACGGCGCTCCGTGTAGGTGAGGCGGCCCTCGAGGGCCACGCCGACCTTGTCCAACGATTGCCCGAGCGAGCGGAGCGTCTTCCCCAAGGCTTGCATTTTGTCGCTATCTACGTCACACGTTTGTGCTGCCCCACAGAGCGCCCATATTTACCAGTCAATTCCTCGTCTGTATCCGGATATCGTCTCTCGGAGGTTTCTATGGACCAATCACAGCGCTGCCATCCCGTGCGCATCCGCCAATCCGTCGTTGCCCTTGACGGCAACGCCCCGTCCACCATGGCACGAGGTACTGTAGCAGCTGCAGAAGGCGACGCTAGCGCGGTCGACGGGTCAATAGCTGGCAAGCACCCAAAGGTTTCCGCTGCCATCGCAGTTTCCATCCCGCTTGGCCGCCTCTAGAGATACGAGGTAGCACCTCTCGAGCACCCGACATCGACTAGCCGATCAATTTTGAATCCTCGTCGTCCCGTTCCTGGGCTGCAGTACCTAGGTAGATGTGGTTGCAGCAGTTGGTCGTTCAACCAGCGTTCGCAGTCTGCGTGCGCGTAGTTGCGGGAAGATAGCTTGTGCTATGGCGTAGCTTCGCGCACCAATGCAAAAAATAAGCTCCTTAGCTTCTTATTCTCGGCCCTAGGGCGCGAAATGCGACCACGTCAACTCTTTTGCTGGTACGTTCAAGGGCAGCGTCCCCGGGCTGCTTGAACGCCGGCGATCATGGAGGGGTCCCCATTACAATTGTTCGGCACGAATCTTTGGGCTTTGGATTTTCCGGATACGAGTGCGCGATTGCGTCCGAGAGGATATTCAATGTCAGAGGTTTCAGAGTGCAATTTCCCATCATCATGTCCTTGAGCATGTTCGCGAAGCGCGGGCTTGGCCGTCTGGCGCCGCCAGCGACCAAGTCCTTCCTGCCGCACCGCGCGCCTGCAATCCCAACGCGCTCCTTTA